GAGGAAAGAAGAAGAGCAGCGAGCCGTGACGCATATATCGGCACACCTATTGTATTCTTTTCTTGTGCGACATTTTTTTTTCATTATCGTGACTCCTTGTTAAAAGAAAAAAATTTTTAATCCAATAGTTAAATGACATCAAATATGAAAATATGAAAAAGAAAAAGATCAATACCATTCAATATCTTCACATTCGTCATTAGATATATTTTCATCTTCTTATCGTTCTTTTGTAACTACTATTTTATTTGACTATCCTGACATAATTGAAACTGGATCGAAATTTGATCTTTTCTTGGTGTCTTCTGGATTTGGTGAAATTCTTTCCATAAAACTAGGTTTTTTTTACGAAACATACGCTGACTAAGCTTTTTATCATCAAAATTTGTTCTACGCCCACCAACACTGTTATTCGATGATGAGAAAAGGCGTTAATCGTAGTTTTTTTGAAGCCTATATTGCAACGATTTTCCTAGTCATTGAAACTAAAGTTAGAAATAAACCATGTAGTTTATACCAAAAACCCAAAACGTCAACATCTTCTTAGTCATCATTATTAGCAAAATGGGAATCTCGATTTGATTAGAAAAAAAATTCGGAATTTTTTCGGAGTCGGAATCGAATTTGTAAAAAAACTTTCAACAAATAGTTAGAGTCGAGGTCAGAGGCAGGGTTAAAAAAATGAGACTTCGTAGGTATCTAATGTCGGATTTTTTTAAAGTACCAACGGCTATTGTCTAAATAACTTTTCAACGGTTCTAGTTAGAAAGTTCGAGTTTTCACCATTAGAAAGAGCAAGTTTGGGGACGTCGATCTGCATAAAATTCATTAGGTTTACGAGCCTTTTGTATGGTTGTTTACAGTCAAGTATCTTATCGGTTGTCTATTTTCATGAGTTTCCATGACAATTTAACATCTAATTATAGACCAAAATATAGCCTAAATCGTTCTGTATTTGTGCCAAAATTTTCACATTTTAACATCAAGATGTCAGAAAAAAAGTCAAGGATAAAACAATAAAATTTGAAAATTTTAACACAAATACAGAACGATTCAGGCTATATTTCGGTCTAATTAGATGTTAAATTGTCATGGAAACTCATGAAAATATACAATCGATAAGATACGCGACTGCAAATAATCATACAAAAGACTCGTAAGCCTAATGAATTTTATACAGATCGACGTCCTTCGACTTGCTCTTTCTAATGGTGAAAACCCGAGCTTTACAACTTGAACCGTTGAAAATTGATTTAGACAATAGCCGTTGGTACTTTAAAATAAATGCGGAAATCTCGGATTTATATTCGAGAGTATGTGTACTTCAAAAAGTGAATGAGACAAATCGGTCATCTTACGAGGGAAGGCCGCCAACTGTCTCCTCGCTTTTGAGCTGAAACTCAGTTGATAATAGCTAATCGAACGTGCTGATTCCGAATATCACAATGGGTTTTGCCCACTATCGATTTAAAGACCCGTTTTTTTAGAGATCTTGGTTTTTCAACCGGAAAACCATTTTCACTAAAAATTTTTTTGACCTGTCCAAAGGAAAAACCACGTCGTCAAACCTACAGAAAACAGTTTTTCAAGGTTCTAAGCGAGGTTTTGAGCGAGTTTTATGCGTCTAAAACTGAAAAAAAAAATGGAAAAACCGCTAATATTTTTACACAATTTATGAAAGAAAAACTACTGTTTTTTCTTCTGTTCCGTTTTTTCACACATGTTATTAGCAATTTGTGATAAAGAGGGCAATAAAGCAGTTTCACAGAGCCATGATTCGTAAAAATATTTGCTGTATTTTTAATGGAAATGATAACTGGTAAAAAAGTGTTGAAAACAAAATTTTTCTTTCATGAATTGTGTAAGAATATTAGCGGTTTTTCCATCTTTTTTAAGTTTTAGACGCATAAAACTCGCTCAAAACCTCGCTGAGAACCTTGAAAAACAGTTTTCTGTAGGTTTGACGACGTGCTCTTTCATTTGAACAGATAAAAAAATTTTTAGTGAAAATGGTTTTTCGGTTGAAACACCAAGATCTTTAAAAAACGGGTCTTTAAATCGAAAGCGGGCAAAAACCATTGTGATATTCGGAATCAGCACGTTCGATTAGCTATTATCAACTGAGTTTCAGCTGAAAAGCGAGGAGACAGTTGGTGGCCTTCCCTCGTTAGTTCCCTTAGCCCCCTTAGTTCTCCTAGCCCACCCTCGAAAAAGGTACTATAGATCTAACATATGTTGACTGAATTCTGTATATCTTATTTGTGTATACATAGTACCCTTTTTTTATAAAGAACACGAGACAAGGAACGAAAGAATTCTAGAATTCTGAACTCAAAGAATTTATTAGTCCCCTTAGTTCCTCTGCCGTGGTAAAAATGGGCTGTGATTTTTTATTCAAAATTCAATTTGAAATAAAAAAAACCATAGACTCATATGCCCCCCTGGATTTTCGCCATGGCGAAAGTCTTATTGGCGAAACTCCGGCAACCCATCACACACACCCACACCCTCGATGAGTAGAAGAGGGTGTGTGGATGTCGGCGAAGGTGAAGATGAAGACTTACAAACACACACTGACACCCACATCTACGAGCATCCCACAGCCACAGCTACACACCTACACCCGACACTGCACATCCTATGAGTAGTTCTGCCATATACACCGACATCCCTGCCTTTCTTATTTGTCCTCGTCACTAAGCTTTTCTATTGTTTGCCTTTGCTCCTGTGCGTCCTCTTCAGAAGTTTCTGGTTCGTTGTTGCAGTGACTAACAGAATTCCTCTGATAATAGATTTCTCGCTCTGCTATTGCTTAAATTCTCGGCGTAGGTAAAAAATTGCACAAGCAGGAGGAAAGTAATGACGCATTGTCAATAAATACTCGAGAAGAAGAAAAAAAATATGCCAACAAACATTCATTGAAACAAAGCATACTGTTTGGAAACAAACAAAATTAATGTCTGAAAAAGTTCCTTCATCTTTTTTGACCTTGCCTATTGAGTTGGTCTATCGTATCCTGGACAAGCTCAATGATTTTACTATTTTCTGTTCAACTCGCAATGTCTGCGTACGACTCAATAAGATTATCGATTCATACAGTCGATATCAGGTAAGTTTCATCTGTACTACAGACTGCTATTTCGACAATATTTAATAAAAGTAGTCAGCTTGACAGATCACTATTTTGATAGAACGATGGTTGGAAGTACACTTGAGAAAGTTGCCGATAAAAAACTGAACTAACAAAACTGTGTGTCAGTTCTCTTCAAAACAACGAGAATCGGTAATTATTGCAATCCTTTAGTTGAAAATTGTCACATATGTAGGGAGAAATGTACAGAAATAATACTCACGATCATTTGTAATATCATTGTAATAGAGTATGTGCGCACCGTTTAATTGTGTTACATAAAAAAGAAAATTGGTCGTCAGAAGAGAACCGAAGTCAATTCTAGAGTCCGTGGTCCACCTACCTGTTTTCACCATAAATTATAACAACTTTCAATAGATGTTCTATACGATCGAGCTATTTTCTATCAAATTAGATAAAATTTTATCTTTGTTTTCCTTTTTTTTATCCCGTTGAAAATTTTATTCGGATCGAGTGGCAATGAGTTTATAAGGTCACACTACCAAGAAGTGGATCTCGAATGAATTTAGTTGAAAAGCTAATTAGTTACTAATGAAAAAGAATGTTCCAATACTGTGTAGCATGAGAAAAAAACATTTATCGATCACGATCACGAAAAATATTCCTAATCACGTACGAACACCCAATATATGAAGACTAGATGAATGCTTCTATGATATCGATAATTCTCAACACCGTCCATTCTACTAAAATCGAAACCATAAATCTATTGCGAGGAAGAAATTCCCATAAACTACATTTTTATATATGAATCAACACTTGATGAATCCTCTATGGTATTAAGCTACTTGAGATAGGACAAAAATTCTCTGCAGTAAATTAACCGAAGCCCGTCTCTTCATGTTCTCAACTTCAGATACGAAAATAAAAATTTTCTAATAAATATGTCCTCTTTGCTTCCTCTTTTTTTTACACTACAAAGAAATTTATGCTCTAAGAACTTTTATTCTTTTAACAAAAAAGGACGAATCCTCTCATGTAAGACATTCCTTCAAGCTCGATATCGAGAACAAAATCAATACGAAAATTCTACCTCGACCTTTAACAATAACTTCATCTGCATTGCGCCTGAATCATTTCCTTTTATCCAATGTATTTTAACGAAAGATCTACATGAACTATTCTTTGGGTTTCTTTTGAAAACATTCATATGAAATAAATCCACAGAGTTCGTTTCAGCTATCTGGATCATTTCTGTGAACCGCAAAAACTACAATATATATTAAGAATTATCCCATCTAGAAAAATCTACAGTCAAACATCTACTTCTTTTTACCATAGTCTCTATCTCTGATACATAAATATACTACTATATCCATCAAAAACATAAATATTCAATAGTGAAATAAATGAAAAAAGGTGAAAAACCAATAAAGCACAAGCATTCCTTCAAAAACATTGCACCTTGCCCTATTCTTTTAATAAGACTGTCACAAATCCTAGCATGTGCATGTAAACATATAGCAGTCTGAAATGTGTTAATTGGTCCTATTCGCATCTAGAAAAAGATTAACCAACAAGATCAAACTCAGTTCTCTCCAGTTCTTAAATCACAATAATTCAAAATCTCTTCAATAGTAACGACATAACAATAAATCATGGAAACATACAGAGTAAAAATTACTTCAATATAATACTATATACATTGTAAAATTATCAAAATAATATGGTTATCTTCATGGATTCTTCATCTCTCTCATAGCTCCACCTGCGCTTTTTCACACA